CCTAGGATGAACGACTGACTGGGTACGGAGACGAATGGGCATGGATTAAGGACATTACTATGATTATCCATAAAATCCAGGCCTGGTGGGAAAGAAATGAACCCAGGAGGACAGATAAACCAAGACAGTGGCTCCCAAACTTTACTATGAATAGGGATCACCTTCACAGGAATCCAAGGAACATATTCGAAAAATGATAGTCTAGAAAAATAGAGGCACACAGAAGAGACTTGAGGTTTCAGTGAGTCCAAAAGCATGGTATAAAGTCCTGAAGGAAAATTGGACATGGGTGTGGCTTACAGCTCTGCATTTTCAGCAGAGGGAGTTGGTGTTTTTTCAAATGCTGCTGGCACAGACTAGATGTCCTTCTCTGCCTTAATTTCTCCATTTGAAAAAATGAAGATGCTATTTTTTTCTCCTTGTATTTAGTTAGTTAAGGGTTAAGTTCAATATTGAGAATTTTGAAATTTTTTAAGCCTACAAAAATGTTAAGCCATGTGAGCCTGAGAAATGGTATAATATACCCAGGGGGCTTTCTAACCTATCAGTTTTCATCATTACAAAGCAAGTGGGCTTTGTTTCTTTGTTTGTTTATTGTGGTTTTGCTTTTTGATTAAATTTATCAGGGTGGCATAGGTTGATAGGATCATATAAGTTTCAAGTGTACATTTCTATGATACAAGGTCTTTACATTGCACTGCATGCCCACCACCCATAGTCAGATTATCTTCCTAATATATGCCCCCTCCACCCCCTCAATTCCCCATCCCCTTCCTTCTGGTGAACACCACACTGTTGCCTGTGTCCATGAGTTTCAGTTTTATATCCCACATATGAGTGAAATCATATGGTCCCTAGCTTTTTCTGACCTATTTTGCCTTAACGTAATATTCTTAAGATCCATTCATTCATATTGTATCCAATATCCATATTTCATCTTTTCTATGGCTGAGTAGTACTCCATAGTGTATATGTAACACATCTCCTTGATCTAATCATCTACTGAAGGACATGTCGGTTGTCTCCATGACTTGGACACCATGAATAATGCTGCAGTGAACATACGGGTGCATATATCTTTGCAAATACATGTTTTCAAGTTTTTCAGGTAGGTACCCAGGAAAGGGATTGCTGGGTCATATGATAACTCTAGTCTTAACTTTTTGAAGAACCGCCAAACTGTTTTCCATAGTGGCTATACCAGCCTACATTCCCACCAGCAGTGAATGAGGGTTCCTTTTTCTCCACAACCTCTCCAATACTTGTTATTACTTATCTTGTTGATAATAGCCATTCTAACAGATGTGCAGCGGTATCTCATTGTAGTTTTGATTTGCATTCGCCTAATAGCTAGTGAAATTGAACATCTTTTCATATACATCTGTTGGCCATGTGTACGTCTTATCAAGAAAGGTGTCTGTTCAGGACCTCTGCCACCCCCCCCTTCCGTTTTTTTTCGTGGTACGTGCCCCTAGCGGGAACTGAACCCAGGACTCTCTGGTCCACAGGCCAACGCTCAACCACTGAGCCAAACTGGCCAGGGCTGCCCTTTTTTTTTTAATCCTCACCCGAGGTTATTTTTCTCACTGACTTTTTTATTTTTTATTTTTTTTAGAGAGTGGAAGGGAAAGGGAGGGGAGAGAAAGAGAGAGAGAGAGAGAGAAGAGAAAGAGAGAAACATTAGTGTGAGAGACACAACAATTACTTGCTTCCTGCACTCACTCCGACCAGAGCCAGGGATCAACCTGCAACCCAAGTACATGCCATTGACCAGGAATCAAACCCATGATCCTTAAATGTGTAGGCTGACATCTAACCACTGACCTACACCAACCAGGGCCCTCTGCCCATTTTAATTGAATTATTTGTTTGTTTGGTGTTAAGTTTTATGAGTCTTTATATATTTTGGCTACTAACCTTTGTCAGAGCTGCTGTTTGCAAATATCAACTCCCGTTAGGTCAGATGCCTTTTCATTTTGTTGTTAGTTTCTTTTGCTGTGCAGAAGCTTTTTAGTTTGATATAGTCCCATTAATTTATTTTTGCCTTTACTTCCCTTGCCTTTGGGGTCAAATTCATAATATGGTCTCTAAGATCAAGGTCCATAAGTTCAGTATGTATTTTTTCTTCTATGTAATTTATTATTTCACATATTATATTCAGATCTTTTATCCATTTTGAATTAATTTTTGTACATGGGACAAAGTGTTGTATCTTTTTCAATCTCTCTTTTTTTTTTGTACATGCCCCTAGTGGGAACAGAACCCGGGACTCTCTGGTCCGCAGGCCAACACTCCAACCACTGAGCCAAACCAGCCAGGGCTCTTTTTCAATCTCTTTTAATATTGCTTTGTACGTTTCAGTATATAGGTCTTCCACATCCTTATAAAAGTTTATTCCTAGTTATTTTATTCTTTTGGTTGCAATTGCATAAGGAATTTTTTTCATTTCTATTTCTGAAGTTTCATTATTAGAATATAGGAAAACAGTGGATTTTTGTAGATTGATTTTTGTATCCTGAAAGTTTATTGTATCAGTATATTATTAATAGTTTTTTGATGGAGGCTTTAGGATTTTCTGTGTACAGAATCATGCCATCTGTAAAAGGTGACAGTTTTACTTCTTCATCCCCAATTTGGATGTCCTTTATTTATTTTGTGTGGTTGCTCTGGCTAGGACTTCCAAAACAGTGTTGAATGAGAGTGGTGAGAATGGGCATTCTTGTCTTGTTCCTGATTTTAGAGGAAAGGCTTCTGGTTTTGTCTTTTTGAAATAATTGGGGCTAACTAATTGGGGCCTGTAATAATTCATTTTATGTGTTAACTTGACTGGGTTAACAAATGCCCAGATAGCTGGTAAAACATTATTTCTGAATGTGTCTGAGGCTGTTCCAGAAGAGATTAGCATTTGAACAGGTGGACTGAGTAAAGAAGATTACCCCCACCAATGCAAGTGAGCACCATCCAATCCATTGATGGTCTAAATAGAACAAAGGGTGGAGAAAGGGTAAATTTGCTCTCTGCTTGAGCTGGGGTATCCATTTTCTCCTGCCCTCGGACACCAGTGCTTCTGGTTCTCGGGTCTTTGGACTCATACCGAATTATCCCACCAGCTTTCCTGTTCTCCAGCCAGCAGAGGGCAGATCATGGAGCTTCTCGGCCTCCACAATTGTGTGAGCCAATTCTTATAATAAATCCCCTTGTCTATATGCATATATCTTCTTGGTTCTGTTTCTCTGAATAATACATTAAGTAATATCAAACTAAGTGTGGTAAGGAATATAAAGAAGTAAACGTTATGACATAGTTTTCAAGGAACTTAGAGTCAAGATGGTAGAGCTAAAGAAAGAAGAAATAACGATGAGTATGTAGTCAGATTAATTGGAGAAAACTACTGAAAAGCAACTAATAATTCGTATTTATTGATTCATTTTATTTATGCACTCAGTGTAAACACTTCCTGAATTCCAAGTGACAGCAGATGATTATGCTGGTGAAACATGTCCATTCTTATCAGAATCTCACTAATTTTAATAGCACCTCACTAATTATTCAGGAGGCACCTAATCCACCCTTTGCATTTGGTTTGACAGTTTCTCTTTTGCCTTTTTTTTTTTATCCTCACCCGAGGACATTTTTCCATTTTTTGTTCAGATAGAGTGGGAGGAAGAGAGAGGAAGAGAGAGAAACATCGACATGAAAGGGACACATCAAGTGGCTGCCACCCGCACGACCAACCAGGGCCGAGGACAAACTGCAACCGAGATACGTGCCCTTAGCGGGAACCAAACCCGGATCTCTCTGGACCACAGACCGATGCTCTAACCGCTGAGCCAAACCGGCCAGGGCTGCCCTTTTTTTTAATTTTTTTTTTATTTTCAGTCTTACAGGTAGTTGTGGAATGTGGCTTTCCTTTTCAGAAATCCCAGTGCCAAGATTGTTCCCTCAGAACAGCAATTCCCAGGCTTTGTTATTTTAGTTTAGTGGTGACTGACCATTAACAGGTTGTTTTCATAGTGAGAAAATCGAAGACATTTTGAGCACTGGTTCAAGGTTACATGATGAGGTTATGGACCCCACCCCGGAACTCACTAACAAACCTAGACCATAATTTATGAGCAGTGGTTGAGCCAGGAGAAGAGATCAGGCCAAAGTCACACCTTTACAATTCAGAGAACTTCCCAAACAGAGTTTGACCTTTTAATAATGACCCCCTTTCCTCATTTCTCAACCTGGAATTATTTGCAGCTTATTTTTCTTTCCTTGCTTAAAGTATTGCCCTATGTGGTCGTGGGCACTGTGACTGTCAGAGTCACCACATCTTACTAGTTTCATCTGCATTCTGCCTCCCAATCCAAGACTTTTCTTTTCCTTTCTTTAATGACTGAGGAAACACGAGCCAGTTAACATCACCCCGGATCCCTTGACTGCCCTCCTCTGGCTCCAGAATTCTGTTTGAGGAAATTCTAGCATCTGAAGCTTTTCCTCAGAGTTCAGTCCTTCTCACTCTTTTCAACAACTATGGTCCCATTACTGCTCATAGATGCAGACGATATAAAATAAAGCCCAAAATGAACAGCTTTGCCCTACACTTAATTTCCTTAGACCCTCCACCCAGCCTTCCTTTCTCATCTAAGAGGGAAGTAGAAATAGCTAAGATACACCTGTGAAGGTCACAGCCCAAGAACACAGCCCACAAGACTGAGGTTAATAAGGTTATGGATTGCTTCCTCTCCCCGCATTTTACCCCAATCACTGCCACCAGTGAGTCTTCAGTAGCCAAGAGCTGAGAGAGCTGCAAGATGCAGGATCTCTCCAAGGAGAAGCACTTAGGGAAGCTACAGTTAACAAGGGAGACAAAAACAAGGAGGCAGGAGGGACTTGAAGCTTCTGGTACCTACAGCAACAGCAAACAATAAACACAACCCAACTTACACCATTGGCTTCCGTGGTTCTCAGGTCTTTGGTGTTCTCAGGCCTTTGCATTTGGAATAAACTACACCACCAGCTCTCCTGGGCCTTCAGCTTGCAGATGGCAGATGGTGGGATTTCTCAGGATACATAATTGTTTAAGCCAATCCCTCATACCTTCATAGTAAATCTCTTCATAGATAAATAGATACAGAGCAAAAAGTAGATTTATAGTTGTTTATATGAAAAATAATATAATAATTAATAAATAATAATACAGGAATAAACTCTGTGTTTTGTATACTCACAACTATAAACCTACTTTTGTCCCAACCTATATACACTGTATAATACATATATATGTGTGTGTGTGTGTGTGTGTGTATATACCGTCTACAATACATAATAACAATAATAATAAATAAAATAGGGAATTGTTTACAAAAGTGATGGAAGCATTGATAAAAGAAAGAGGAGTGGTAAAGCAACCCAGAGATTAACCAAATTAAGAAGCCACTACCCTACCTCAGGGTGGAAGGACAGAGGAACAGGTATTAGCAGAGCACAGAAACTTCAGAAAAGATGTAGCCCTTGCTGGAAATTGAAAAAAACAGTCTTGGAAGCAGAGAAAGAAAGGGATATATATATATATAGATATATATATAGATAGATAGATATATAGATAGATAGATATAGATAGATAGATAGATATATCTATCTATATCTATCTATCTATATATATATATAGAAAGAGAGAGAGAGAAAGATATCTCCATTTCTCTGCCCTCCATTCTCTGTCCAGATCAACTTAGTTTAACTAGGTTAGCCAGAGCACCAGAGAAATGGACTTTGCAGAAGAAAGGTGAGGAAGGAATCGACCTGAGAACAAAGAGAAAATCATTAGTGTATGGAGCAATGGTCCTTGTAGGTGAGTCTAATCTGTGTCCCCACTTTGGCATTCCAAAGCCAGCTTCCAGGAGCCCTAAATTTGCAAAAGAACCCCACAGACACGTGTGCCTCCTGAAGACCAGCTCACCTGTCCAAATCTGACTCTGCCTTTTCTGTATATCCCATCAGCCCTTATATACTCAGCTGGCACAGCTGACAAAGTTTGACAAGAGTTCGTTAGTGATTTTCAAGCGGTGAATATTTCGTCTCTCATGTATAAGTCTCTCTCATACCATGTAGTATTTCCATCTGCGACCTACATCCATCTCCTACAGCCCCATTCTGCCCTAGACAGTTAGGACTTTTACGTAGTTTAGACAACCCATGTATTTAGAAACAGTTTAAGCATGTAGTTCAAGAAACTAACCTAAGTGAATGCTTCATGAAAAAGATGTGTATGGCCAAATAAATTTTGGGAGATCACATATTGTTTTTCTCTTAAAGATTTGCAATGAAGGTTGGTTAATTTAAAGACGCAGAGAAGTCCTCCAGGGTTTCCCAAGTTGATTAAACACAGAACACTTTTGTTCTTATAACGCTCATTAATACCCCGTGAATACACTCTGACAAACACTGATTCAGATCATGCCACCGCAATGCCAGTCTCGGCATTAGTAGCATTTATTTTTCAGGGCATTGTGTGAGGTACTGCTGGAGATATTGGGTTGTAAGATACAATCTATTCCCACAGATGATTAGAATAAAGTTGAGCCAGAATATATAAATAAAGAGATAAATAATAATTCCAGGCACCGTGGCGTGAGTACCAAATGGGTGGTCCAAACAGAAAGTGCAGCAGGGGTGCACGGAAGAGAGAATTGTTGTAAGCTAAGTGGTTCAGGAAGGTTCTAGAAGAATATAAGACTTGGGCTAATCCTTGGGAGAAAACATATACACCTACGCATATGTGGATGGCATACTGGGGGAAATAAGAGGATCGGTTTAGTTATCCAAGTAGGTAAGGTCAGAGTGCAACATACCTCGCTTCAGTTTCTACAGTGAGGATCTGGATCACCAATGAGGAGCATTGTTATACAGGCCAAGAGAGCTCCTGGAGGTCTCTGAGTGAACAGGGAGCATCTCAGAGGCAAGTGTGTTTATAGAAAGCTGTGCTCCCCTCAGCAATTAGAACAAAAGTGTTCCAGAAAGCTGTCTGCTTGACCTATGTCTTAGCCTAGCCTCCCTGCAAAAGCTTAGCCTGAGACAAAGCCTGGTGCACAGGTCCTTTATTTTGAGATGTGATCCCAAGGACCCACACAGGGGACTGGGAAGAGTACAAGAGGAAAGAGGGGAGCCAAGCAAACAAGCCCTCACCACTGTGAGCAACTGAGGCTTGATCCCCCTGGGACTCCCTAAGAGAATCATGAAGAATGCACTTCAGCATTGTTCCCCCAAGAGATGAAAGTGAGAAATAGTTATCTACCAATTACCATCCCCCACTAATCAAGGGTTGCCCTCACATCTGCAGGTTTGAATGCGCTGCAGAATGGCCAAGTGGGTCTCTGCAGGCATCCCACCCAGTATAGGAAAGCCCGGGGCAGAAGGGAAGAAATCGACGGGGGGGCTGAGGTACTGCTGTCAAGTACACCGCATGCAGCTGGTGACCTTGGCAATGGCTGGAGTGAAAAAGGGAGTCTGAGAGGATCTCTGCATAAGAAGTGTCTAATAAAACCTCCAAGGAAGATCATTCTATGCCAACACCGTATTTCCAGGTTCTTACCTGGTTGTTTTTTCTTCAGACTTTTGCACCATGATTCTTGCCCAGGCGTTCAACTCCAGGGTTTTTAGCATTGTTCTTTTCCCTCATCCCATGTTCCCCTACCATTCAAAAAAAAATCCACAGATGAAAACAAAAATAGTCAAATCATAAAGAATATTTTTGCTTCAACTTATTTATACAAAAAAAAAGCACAGTTTTTGGATTTGTTTAATAAGGTACATTTGAAGGCAAAAGACCACCCAAAATTTCCAGGTAAGAACTAACTTGCATAAGAAAGTTTCTAAGACATTTTGCCCTGCTAGGACAGCTCTGCATCCCCAGTCAGACAAACCAAAGCACTGAGGTCATTGCCCTGCTCATCACTCAGAAGCCCTTCTCGGAGATGTGGTTCTTCAGAACTGCCACAACCCAGCAATATTCATCATCCAGCCATTGATCTGTTGAGGACGTGCTATAATCCAGGTACTGTTCTAAGCTCTGGGGATAAAGTTTTAAACAAACATACCAAATATCTGTCCTTGTGAAATATGCAGTCTAGTTGCAGGGAAAATATACAAATAAATATGTAATATGTTGGATGTACAGTCATGGGCATAGAAGGATGGGTTTTATTATTTTTTTTTCTTTATTGATTTTAGAGAAAAAGGAAGGGAGAGGGAGAGAGAGATAGAAACATCAATGAGAGAGGACATCGATTGGCCGCCTCCTGCATGCCCCCCTCCTGCATGCCCCCCACTGGGGATCAGGCCCACAACCCGGGCATGTAGCCCGTCTGGGAATTGAACCGGCAACCTCTTGGTGCATGGGTCAATGCTCAACCACTAAGCCACACCAGCCAGGCAGGTGTTATTATGTATAGCGTGTGTTATAAATGTGATATTTGCATAGAGGCAGGAAGGAAATGAGAGGAATGAGCCATGTGGATAAACGAGGAGGAAACATACCAGAGGGGTGTGTTTAAAGCAAGTGCCAAGACCTGAGGCCTTGTGGCCTGTGTCTGGCCTGTCCAGGGGAGAACCAGGAGGCCAGTGCAGCAAGAGCAGAGTGGGTGAAGGGCGGATGTGAAAGGAGAGGGGTCCGAGAGGTAGCCTTGTGGGGATGCCGCAGGGCCTTGGAGATCATTATAGAATGACTGGCTTTTTCTCTGATTGAATAGGAAGCCATTAAAGGATTTTCAGCAGAGAAGTCACATGGTCAGTTTGCACTTTTAAAGAATCGTTCTGATTGCTGTGGAGAATAGGTGTGGTGACACTGGGTTAGGAAGCTCAGGGCGAGAGAATGATGACCTGAATGAGGAAGGCAGCAGCGGCCCTGAGAAATGGTAGGGCTCTAATGATATTTTGAACATAGAGTTGAAAAGGTTAAATGATGGACTAGGTGTGCAGCATAAGAGAAAATGAGGAGTCAGAAATGACTGCAATGTTTTTGACCTGAACTGAAAAAGCAAATTGTCATTTAACAAGACAAGGAGGGTTGCAGGCCTGGAGTTGGAGAAAATCAAAAACTCAGTTTAGGACATGTAAAGTATGAGGTATTTATTGAACAAGCCGGGTTGTCAAGTAGGCAGTCCTCTCTGTTCTCTGCACAATTCTGAAATTAGGCACACATTTCAGTTTACTAGGTTTCATTGAATAACACCAGTCCTCTAACAAATCCCAGTTACCCACAGTCTGTGAACTGTAACCGCAGACAGGACAACTTCACTGCTTCCTCAACCCACAAATAACAGGTGCCCTTCATGATCAGTGACCGGCCGTCACTTCTTTCAGAGCCTGCCTGTGATTGGCTGCTGCCTTGGTTCATGCCTCATGCAGTTCCCACAGACAGCATAATGCACCCGTGTTGTCTCCTTCTATCCCAGTGCTACACCCACGTGACATTCCACTGCAATGGGAACTCAAAAAGATAAACTGGCCAGTAAAGATGAAAGTATAATAAAGAAAACAGTGGTGATGCTGAAAGTGAACCTTGAATCAAACATAAATGGAGTTGCAGAAGGGAGAGCTGACCTGGGAACGCTGTCCCTGCCACCATCTGAGAGACGACACGTGCACTCACGGGTGAAGGCAAAGGGGGAACGTGCATGTGACAGGAAAGACAAAGCTGTCCCAGAAGAGGGAACACCGACAAAAAACTTCACATTAGAGAAGCTCACAGCAATGAAAGCACAAAGGCTAAAATGCTGGAAGTTCACCCAAACTTAGAAAGATGGTGACAATTCGCTAAGGCACAGAAAAGATGTCCCTCCATATCACATCACATCACACGACAAGAAGGCATGCACTGTACAAGCTACTCTTGATAAATATTTTACAAAGTAATAAAACACTCATTCTCAATGTTCCTAATGTTTTAAATTAGTGTGAACTACATCGATATTCATTTCTAAGTGTTCTTATTTTTTCATTTTACTATACATTTATAACTGACAGTAAGAGTTTTTAATTTCGAACAAAATGTTAATGGTTCCGGAACAATCCCATTTTTCACATGGATTGTTACAAACGCGTTGCCTAGCTTCCGCTCAGCCCCATGCTCATGTTTATGGTCCCACACTAGTGTGCAAAGGGAGGCTGTATGTGAATTTGCAGTTTAGAGGTAAAGTCTGGAGACATACATTTGTGAATTATTACTGGGTAGATGATATTCTAGCATGAGATCACCTGAAGAACACGCATAGATGAAGAGAAGGTCTAAGGACTGAGCCTTAGGGAATCCAGTGGCTAGAGGGAAGGGAAAGGAGGAAGAATCACCAAAGAAGGCTGAGAGAGAGTGGCCAGTGAGCAGTAAGGAGAACTGAGAGGTGTCCCAAAGCCCGTGAGGGGTTTTAAGGAAAGAGTAACCAACTCTCCTGCTGGTTAGACAAGTGAGACAATACTTAGAAAGTGACCTCTGTATTTGGCAATGAGAAGGTTGCTGGTGCCTTGACAAGGGCTATTTCAGTAAAGTAACCCTGAGAGAGCCTGATTAGGGTGAGTTCAAGAAAGAACAGAGGAGCTCTGGCCAGTTTTGCTCAGTGGTTAAAGCGTTGGCCCACAGACCAGAGAGACCTGGGTTCAGATCCCCACTAAAGGCACGTACCTCCGTTGCAGTTCGTCCCCGGCCCCGATTGGGGTCGTGTGGGTGGTGACCAGTCGATATGTCTCTCTCACACCAATGTTTCTCTCTCTCTCTTTCCCTCCCCCTCACTCTATCTGAAGATAAATGCAAAAAATAATAATAATAATAATAATGCCCCCAGGTGAGGATAATTAAAAAAAAAAGAGCAGGAGGAGAGGAAAGAGAATGATGACCACAGGCAAGCTCTCTGGGGGGATTTTCTGTAGGGCATGGCTGGGATAGGATGTGAGCCCAGGAGCTGACACTGTCATGGAACCTGTGTATGCTGACTAGCATAATTAACTAGAGAGTTAATGCCAGGAGAAGGGACAGTTATTAAAACAATGTCCTCAAGAAAGGGTAATACCTAGTCCCCAAGTGGAATTTACCCCTGGACAGGGCAGGGTCTGACAAGAAGGCCTGACTCTTGACTTCTTCAAGACTCAGTTGCCTCAACAACAGAATAAGAATGGACTAGACTGGAGGTACTCAAAGTGTAGTTTCCAGACCAGCAGTATGGGCATCACTTGAGAATGTGTTAAAAACGCAAATTCTCAGGCCTCATTCAAGACCTGCTGAATCAGAATCTCTGAAGGGAGCCTAGCGCTCTGTGCTTTAACAAGCCCGCTGAGTCTTCTGATGCACCCCGAGGTTTAGAACCAGCGGACCAGATGATATTTAAAGTATCTTCTGGCCCAGCCGGTGTGGCTCAGTGGTTGAATGTCGACCCTGCACCAAGAGGTCACTGGTTCAATTCCCAGTCAGGGCATGTGCCCAGGTTGTGGGCCTGATCCCCAGTGGGGGGCATGCAGGAGGCTGCCAATCGATATTCTCTTTCATCGATGTTTCTATCTCTCTCTTCCTCTCCCTTCCTCTCTCTCTAAAATCAATAAAGAAAAAAATGTTTAAAATAAAATGAAGTATCTTCTGGCTCTAAAATCTATGAATCTATGACTCAATAACCTATTTCTGCCAATATCTATTTATTAAGTTTTCATAATACTAACATAAAAAGTTTATGAAACACAAACTGTTTTCTTTTAATTTTTGTCAGTCACCAAAAGCCAAATGTCAGTGTTCAGCCCTCCACAAACAATAATGACATTTGTGTATCTTAAAATCACGTTCATGCCCTGGCCAGTTTGGCTCAGCAGTTAGAGGGTCGGCCTGCAGACCAGAGTAGCGGATTCGATTCCGGTCAAGGGCACGTACCTCAGTTGCAGTTTGTCCCCCACCCTGGTCAGGGTCATGCAGGAGGCAAGCAATCGATGTGTCTCTCTCACAATGATGTTTCTCCCCCCGCCCCCCAACCTCCTACTCTATCTGAAGATAAATGGAAAAATATCCTCTGGTTAGGATTTTTTTAAAAATCACGTTCAAAACTATTCCCAACACGACTCTCTCATGGTAGAGTGTTCAACTTAGCTGTGAGGGCACCAGTAAAGCTTGTATATTTTTTCTGCCATTTTTATAATACATGTACACTTTTAACGAAAAACCTTTGGGAAATAAAAGCTACTTCTCCTAAGTTGTCAGGCATTGTTTTGTACTGCTTGAAGTGCATTATTCCCCAGGAGCACAGCAGACGAGGAAAGACAGGTGACATTAATCCCGTCCCACACTGTTGTTCTTTGGGAACATGGGTCTCTCCAGCCACACACTTGGAGGAAATTCCATACAAACAGAGGAAGCCAGACTCTTTCTGGGAGAACTTAGTCGCTGACTTACTACATTCGACATTGATGCCTGCTAAAGATAAAACCTGGGAAAAGACCTCAGGTCCTGTTTTCCATTGTTGCTGCCTGGGCCCAGTGTGTATGTCTGAGCCGTGCACACATTTCCCTGGGTGGGGGGCGCGTCAGCAAGCAGCTGTCTGTGCAGGATTGCTGATGTTTACAGTAGCGAGTTAGTGCTGCTCTATGCCAAAGCATGTTGTTTCTTATTTTAAAGATGAGAACAATTCCTTCTCTCCCCAGTCCATTGTTACTTGGTTTACTAGACTCTCAGGAGCAGGAAGCAGTAAATTACTAAAGAAAAAAGTATAAATCTCACTAGGGTGTGCTCCTTGTCTTTGGATGAAATTCAGCATACCAATCAGATGTGATGATACGCCACACAGGTCCTCTCTGCTTTGCGGTAAGTTGGTTTGGGGAAGTGAAATAAAAGTCGTTAGACACTTTCCTGTGTCCGTTTCTGTACCTTTCTAGAAGCTCTAAGCACTGCCTCATGTGATGGCTCCAGAAAGCCAGCTGGTCCACCCTAGCGAGGACGTGGCTGGCTGAGAACACCCACTGCCCGTGCGCCCTCTCTCCACGGCTTCCCAAAGCCGGCGCCTTATGCTCTTCCATTAGTTAACACTGCATTCTCCCAACACTGTCTGCCAATAATGAGGGTTGGGTGGGGAAGAGGGAGGGGGAGAATAAGTATTTCCTGAATCACAAAAGAAAATAAAAAAGGAAGATTTACCTTAAAGTACAAATTATTTTCAAAACACATCTATAGAAAGCCAGTATTAAAGTGAGTCAAGCAGATGCATAAAGAAATTACCTATAATGTAAATAAATCACCTACTTCCTCATTCTGTTTAACAAACCTTTCCTGAACATGCCCGACCCTGCCTGGCTCAGTCACCTCCCCCTAGTGCAGTGGTTCTCATGCCTGGCTACACACTGGGGTCACGTAGAGAGCGTCAGAAGTGACTGAGACCTCCAAGGAGTCTGAGAATTTGTAAAAGCTCTCCTCAGGCAATTCTAACAGGCAGCCAAAGTGAAGACACTGTTCTGCTGCCCCCTTTTCTCCTCAGCTCCCCATCTGCCCTTTAAAACCACTACCTCAGCCAGGCCAGTGTGGCTCAGTGGTTGAGCATCGACCCATGCACCAAAAGGTCACCAGTTCGATTCCCGGTCAGGGCACATGCCCAGGTTGTGGGCCAAATCCCCAGTAGGGGCCATACAGGAGCCAGCCAATTGATGTTCTTTCTCACTGATTTTTTTTTAATTTTTAATTTTTTTATTAATTTATTTTTGTCACAGATGTTTTTCCTTTTTCCACCATTGACACCTCCTCCTCTCATCGATGCTTCTATCTCTCTCTCCCTCTCCTTTCCTCTCTCTCTAAAATCAATAAAGAAAAAAAAATTTTTTTAAACAAAAAACACCACCTCAGGCTCCCCTCCCCAGCAGAGACTGAAATAACAAAGTCATACCCAGGAGTTTTTAGGACACTGATACCCAAATTACCTGCTATAAGAATCACTGGGGCACTTACCAGACTAATTCAGACTCACCTCTCCGTTGCAATGATCATTACTAACTATATTGAAACTGATAAAATTCATTATCTGAATGAACATAAATGAGCCAGTTACTTTAAAACATTTCCTTGAATGCGGTTCTGGCCTCTTAGATTCTGTTTTCAGTAATATGGCAGATGAGCTTTAGAGAGCCTCCGCGTCTGCTCAGGAATTGAATGTCGCATTCGGTTCAATATTTAATAAATAATAATCTATTTACAAGCATAAGAAACACTAATTAGAAGTTCAGGATTGGAGAGAACTTCAAAATGACCTAATATTACCATTAATCTGAGTCACTACAAAACTCCAAATCAAGTGGTCATCCAGTTTGGACACGAACACCTCCTCCTCCCAGTGACAGGGGTGTTACCTCCTTGGGTATTCCATCTCATCTTGGGTCAGCTCTGCCAAAGCAAAAAATCACTCATTGAAAAAACTATGTCCCTGTATTTTTTCAGTTCAAAAGATTGTTTGGTTTTGGATAATTCTGAAGAACTTTAGAGAAGATGGGACCATGTATAGCAAGGACCATTTCCCTGCACAGCCAACCCACTGAGTGCACTGAAGTGTCTGATAGGCCACAGCATGTGGGCACCATGTGTACATATTCCCTGACCTCAGTGTACTTGCAGTCTAACAACATACAGAACGAAGCAGGAGTTACGTACGTTGTGATATGTGATAAAACAGGGATAAGTAAGGACCACAGGTGCCTATCATAGAAACACCTGACCCAGACCAAAAGAGGACCGTCCCCGAGAACTGACCTTGGAGCCAAGGCTGAAGCCTAAGTCATTGTTGCCAGTTTTGTACAGTATAAAATGGTTTTATCTTTTCTCCAATGTTATGCTGAATCTCTCTGAACTGATGAAAATTTCTACTTACTTTTGCTTTTCAAAGCTTAAAGCAAGCCAATGTAATAATGCAATCTCATGTTGGATTTAAAGGCTCTAGCACTTTCAATGTTTTAGGACTGGGAGGAGGATGAAGGAAAGGGACAGGCTCTCTATTTAACTAGACACAGTAATGATCGCCTTGGTGCGCCTCTGCTTAGCATGGACTTTCCTTGGATCGGGCTCTCCTACGGGGCACATACATGACGTTCTCAGAGGGCACTGCAAGGTCTCCCCACTACGCCGTTCCCAGCACCTCCCATCTTCCATATCACCCATGGTCCATTCACAACCTTCAGAAACCAGTGCTCCTTGCCAACAGGTGGTCTCCTTGACTAGCGTATTTACAAGGTGTCTTGATTCAGCTATTTCCCATGGTGTCTATTACCCAGTGTGCAGAATGCGTGGTCAACCCACTCATGAAAAAAATTTCATTTCTAATACTAGGGATGGACAATTAAAAACCAAAATTTTAAAAACAATATCACTTAGAATACCTTCCAAAAAATTAAGTGCTCAGGTGTGAACTTAGTAATAATGTGCAGGTTCGGTGTACTGAAAACTACGAAATGCTAATGAAATAAGTCCTAAACAAATGGAGACACATACCATGTTCATAAATTAGAAGACTCAGTATACTTAAAGTGGCAGCTCTCCAAATTGATCTATAGCTCTAACACAATTCCAATAAAAATCCCCGAGGAATTTTTGTAAATGAATACAAGCTAGTCCCATAATTTATATGGAGAGGCAAAACAGCTACAATAGCCAAAATAATTTTGAAAAAAAAAACAAAGTTGGAGAAACACATTACTGATTTCTAAGTTACTAATAAACATGGTAATTAAGGCTGTGTGTTATCAGATGCAGCCATAACCAATTGAATAAAATTAAGATGCACACAAATACAGTCCATTGATTTTTAGAAAAAATATACAAAGAGATTCAAAGGAGAAAGAATATTGTTTTCAACAAATGATGGTAGAACATTTGGACATTCATATGCAGAAAATTAACCTCAGACTAAACCTTACACTTCATACAAAAAATAAATAAATAAATCAAAATGGATCATAGATCTAAATGTAAAACAGAAAACTGTAAAATATTTAGAATAAAACCTGGGAGAAATCTTTGAAACCTCAGGTTAGGCAAAGAGTTTTTAAATACGACACTGAACACACAATTCATTTAAAGTATTAAATAACTGACCTTATCTTAAATTGAGCCTGTATTCTGTATGCTTCCATTCATATAATACTGTGGAAAAGTCAGAACTCTAGGGACTGCGAGCAGATCAGTGGTGGCTGGGGAGCAGGGGTGGGGAGGATGTAACAGCAAAGATACCATTAGGAAGTGTTATGGCTGATAGAACTGTTCTGTATCCTGACTGTGAACACACTTCGCATATCGGACACATTTACCTGTGATAAAACTCCGAGAGCTGTACGCTATCCTCCCCACCCCAAAGTCAGTTATGTATGTTCATTTAAAAATTAAATTAAATTAAAAGATGGCATCAGATTCTAGTCAGGAAGCTAAGTATCAAAAAAAGGGCATTTATTTAAACTTAGTTGTATACTACAGGTGAGGTCATTATTACTAGTTATAAGTAGACTATAGAGATGGTCTGTTTGGGGGAAAGAATATTAGGGGGAGAAGGTGATGGAATTACAGTGAACCTTACAAATGTCAGAGCGAAATATGTGGAGACAAATGAATAGCAGCCTGTGACTCCAGCGGGGGGAGAAGCCTCCCTGGAGGGAAGCCCGCGGGCTGCTCCCACACCCGCATCCAGACCGTACCGAGTGGGCCTGAGCCCGGGCAGGGAGATGCATCCCAGGGCGGAAGAAAGGAAACAGTGAGACCTGAAGAAGGAGACGCAGTTCCTTCGTGTCTGCTTTTGAAGGGAGAGATTCCCAGGGTCAGTGACTGGGTGCCTGAGCCCAGGAAAAGCCCCGGAAAGCTTGGGGCTGCCTAAGGAGCGGGCCCCAGAGGCCTCCGCTGGGTGAGTGCTCCCGGGAAGGTGCTCGGAGGACAGCGGCCGCATCAGAACTAAAGCCCAAGTTAAACTTCCGCATTAAGGGTAAAGGGGGGGGGGGGGGGCTCCCAACGGAATCCTGCGCCCAGCTCATTACCAATGACAAAAATTAAATCTTCCATGCTTGGGTCTTCTCTGTGAGAATGGAAATAGCGATGGACCAATTTACTTTTTTCATCTACTGGTCGGAGGGTGGCGGGGAACTTTTTTTAGGCTGTTTAGTTACAAGGAGCTGTTAAATTTAGACTTTCAAAGTGAGGATAAATTCTTTGAAACAAAACAGATTATAAAGCTGGGTATATAATTTAAGAATTTTAATGATTGCATATAAAATAGTAATGCACAGGGGTGATATTTAAAAATAATTTTACTATGTATACTATATGATCTCTGTATATTTATTTATGAAATGCATCCCTTAATTTGGCAGTTGTATGTGGATTACCATAATCATCCACCAGAGGGAGACAAAAGACTGTGTTTTCCCCTTGGGGCGTCTTCCCGTTTAATGCGTCCTTGGGCCAAAATCTCTATCACACATTGGAAGAGAGTGAGGCCATCTAAGATGGAGAAGAGACTTACGGTTCTGGAATGAGACAAAAGCATGTGGAGAAGAAGAGTGGTTCTGGCTTCATTAAATGTCCTGCTTTTCCTCTGGTCTGTGGGTGACTTTCTCCTGATTCTCTGGGGTCTGCAAAGCAGAACTATTTGTCTGCCTTTGAAAACAAAGCCCTTGGGACTCCTGACACTGTCCAAGCTGAACAAACTGTAGGGATTACTCCCACCCCACCTATCCGCTGCGAAAGGAGTGTGTTGTTCAGACTCAGGGAGGCATTTATGAAATTTCAAGTGGTTCCTCCTGGGATGATAAATGCCCTAAGGAGCTGAAGGCAATCCAGGGCCAACCACACCATGGAATTTGGTAGAGGATGGCTTTACTCTTCCTTGGAATGCGTCCTTTGTTAATTCACTCAACAAAGAGGAAGAATTTACCAGGAAGCAAGTATTGTTTCATGGTTTAAAGGGGGGAGGAGGGGGCTGTGTGCTCTAGCCCTGGCTGGTGTTGCTGAGTGGTTAGAGTGTGGGCCTGCACACCAAAGGGTTGTGAATTCAATTCCAGTCAAGGGCAGGTACCTGGATTGCAGGTTCAATTCCTAGGACATCTGCAGAAGGCAACCAATCGATGTGTCTCTCTCACATCAATCTCTCTCTTTGTCTCTCTCTCTTCCTTCCTACTTCCCTTCCTCCCATTCTCTCTAAAAATCAATGGCCTTAGGTGAGGATTAACCAAAAAAAAGGGGGGGGTGTCTCTAATAATAGGAAAGCCCTACCAATGAAATGAACCCATCATTAGAAGTATGCAAAGGCTGTTCTAAAACAGATTTTTGAGCAGAACGTGTTGCTAGTGTAGTTTACGTTTGAGATTCTAGGAAACATTTATGTCATGTGCAAAGGGGGATTCAAAAGTAGAAGACTTCTTGACAAACAAGTAAGTAATGTACCAGTACAACAATAAGGTATTGCTGGAACTTTTCTCTTCATCATTCTCTTAAAACAAATCAGACTATACAATTACTTTCCATTCATGATCACCTAATTACTTTTTTTTTTTAATCCTCATCCGAGGATATTTTTGCATTTATCTTCAGATAGAGAGAGAGAGAGGGAGAGAAGGGGGAAGAGAGAGACAGAGAGAGAAAGAGAAGCACCGATGTGAGAGAGACACATTGAGTGGTTGCCACCCACACGACCCCATCTGGGGCCGGGGACAAACTGCAGTCGAGGTACATGCCCTTAGCAGGAACCAAACCCGGGACTCTCCAGTCCATAGGCCAATGCTCTAACCACTGGACGAAACCACCCAGGGCACCTAATTTCTTATATTAAGACCCAAACCAGATCTTGAAAATGAAAATAGAATTAAGACTTCAGTTTACCACCCACTAGAGAACAAACAAACACCTCTGCATAGCTAGGCTGCATTTTAAGTGGTTTTAAATCCCACTTTATTTTATATCCAGGACTTTGAGGCCCTGAGGGATAGGGTAAAGGCAAGGTCATAACAGAGGAGTGCTTTTCCCTTAATGCTAGCTAAGCAGACTGAGACGGGAAAGCAGTGACTGGAGTTAAGGGCACAAGCTCACAGGTCCACAGGGGAAAGAACCCAGGGCCTTGGCATTCTTTCCCGTGGGCACTAACTGAGGGAACCAGTGGAAGATGACAATGTACAGGATGAGAGCTTTTTAGTGAGATCTTCTTCAGCCACAGGATCTGATGCAGATACTCTCCCCAGCCCTGGCTCGTGTGGCTCGGTTGGTTGGAGCATTGTCCTGTACACCAAAAGGTGGAGGGTTCGGTACAGTCAGGGCACATACCCAGGTTTCAGTCCCCGTTCTCTCACAATGATGTTTCTCTCTGTCTGTCTGTCTCTCGTCCCCTCTCTTTCTCAAATCA